TGGCATGTCTACTTGCCAAACAGTTAAGGTAGAGGTCAACAGGGCTTGCTCTGCCTAATTTGTTATTTTCACTAATGTTTTGTGTTTGAATGATGTTATTTGTCTGAATTTTTCCTTTTGTCATAAAAAATAGTCTCCAAGGATGTCACGGGTGGCGGTCTCCTCAATTCAGGGACTTGGGGGTCATGGCGGTATTTATTCCCCACCTTTGCAATTGTTGTCATTTATTCAGTTTTGTTTTATGACATAATTGTCCATCACTGTCAGTTGTATAATGCTTTATGATATTTTGAATAAATGACCTTTTTCACAAATTTTGAGTTAGATATTCTGCAAATGAACTCGCATCATTGGTATCCATTGTCATGTCTTTATTTAGACAAGAAGAAAAATTTAGCTGACAAAAATGTTTATTTGCAATTTTATTCATGCTGATTTCAAAAGCCTCTTGCAAAGCCTCCCCCTCCCTTATTATAACTGAATCAGGAATTCCCCCCCCCCCCCCCCCCCCCTTTACAAGAAATTGTACTCACTTCTTTTTCGGTTTTTGTGTTTCAATTTATATCCATGAATTTAATGATATGCTCACAATACATCTGTTTTGGAATAATAAATCATGTGCAAAAGACTAAACTGGTCAACTGTAACACGAGATAATGTACAGGTTATTATGTCAACATAACAATAACAGTGTAATAATAACCTTTAAACTGGGTGCACTCGTTTAATATTCTAGTATAAAAGGTATTGTGAATATATTTAATTCATGGATAGATACTGAAACACAAATTTAAAAAAAAAAGTACAATTCTAAATTAAATCGCTGTGATCCGTCCATTCGTTTTTAAAATCAACAGGACAGCTGCATTTAACAGGTTGGGCACATTTCCTTATACGGACATGTGTTATTTAGCATACTTATGCCCCCGTCAATGCATGTATTAGTGTTTGTTTACAAATAAGTCATTTTTTTTTATTTTGGCGATTGACCTATCCACTGAATGATTTGCAATGCATGATGGACTACTTGTCTATAACTGACAGAGTACTTAATTTTTCACTTATTGCCAGAAAAGAATTTTTCTTACTTTTCTCTCGACTACTTGGTGATATCAACTCTGAATATACTCATTCTGTCAAAAGAATTTTTTTATTGTGAGTATATATATATATTCAAAACAGATTCCTTTAAACTTCCATGCAAAATCTTTTACTTTATGAATGGACATGTGTAAAGATAGTAATTATGTATATCCCCATTGAGAGGCCCCTGACATACTGTAATTGCGTAAAGTCTTTGTTGTCGACAGCCAGTGATATACACTATAACATTTAATTACTATGTGTTCATGTCCACACTGTTATGAAATTCATTATATTTCCACTGATGAAGGCGAAGATGTATCATTGAATGGACTTCTTATTTATCTAATTCTTTTTGCTGATGATACCGTTTTATTTGGAAAAACACAAACTGTTCTTCAACACTTATTTGATAAACGTTTTCTTTACTTCAATAAATGGGATATTGAAGTAAATAAACCAAAGTAGTACTAGTGGTATTTAAAAATGGATTTAAATCAGTAGACAATCGTTCTTTTCAGAAAAAAGGTTGGATCCGCCTTGGGATATTCATCAGAAATATGGGGTTTCCATCAGTTCCTGATGCAGGTTAATACAAAAAAGCGCTTCGTAGGCACCCAAGTTTCATATTAAATAGTTCGTGAGAGTATATATTTTTTTTTCCAAATTGGTGGCATTACAAATGATTTTGTCTTAATAGTTTCTAACATCGTTATCAGGAAATTGTATGCGAAAGAATTTTCTAAAAAGGTCTTTTATAGATCAATTTCCATATTAGAACAAAATACCAAGTTCTTACTTAGACCGAACATAGCAAGTACCGATATCTACATTCTGAACAATTTTCTCAAACGGATATCTCTACTTACCTATACAGTAGACCCCTTCGTTCGTATAACCATTTTGACAGACACATGTGAAGGTACCATCCGTCATTAAAAGACATGTATGGACCACACCATCGGAAACACAAGGTGGATTTTCCGTATTGTCACAAGGGTTTTCTGCATCTAAAAACGTGGTACAATCTTTAAACTTAAAAAAGTTCATTATTACTAGTTTACCATCATAACCAGGTTTTTTCTTTTATGATTTCCCTTTGATGTTTCTTACTTTTTTTTGGGGGGGGGGGGGGTTATCAAAAGTAGACAAGTTTTAATATGCTACTTTGTATTTATGTTTCATTTAACATGCAACATGTTAGCATTAGAAAATCACTCTCTATAATAGTGTACTAGTGGCAATGAGCACAACCGCGTGCTTAAAAATAAATCAAAATCTGATACGACCTTTTCTTAAAAATCGTTATATTCACGCTACGTCAATATTTTTATATTGAAAGTTCTCGTGGTAATAGGCAATAGACAGACCCGCGTGCTTGGAAAAAATAGTTCGCGAAAAAAGATACAGTTTAGGAAATTGTGTCCTGCTAAGAACTATTTGGAACACTCCAAAAAAAAAGGTGTCTGGAAAGAGCTTTTTATTGTGTATGTGTACATGATTGATTTTTTGTTTTTTAAAAATATGCAGCAAAATTTTCTTTTATTTTTTGTAGCAAGCTTCTAATGCAATTATCTCGATAAATAATGAAAATAAGACATTATGTATTTTCATGCACTACTAGTATATTTCAATTAACATAGTTTAACAGATAATTTCTTAAAAACGGACGATTATGGTTAACTTTTAATTAGTATGGCTACCGGCGATAATCTATTGATTTTGTCGCCTTTTATATAAGACTTAGAGAAGTCACTTTTCTATTGTTCTGGCGTCATCGGTGATTTCCGTTTTATATTTTCTGTTTGTTTGAAAATAGTTAAAAGAAATACATTAATAAAATTGATTTTGTTAATTTTTTTCTTGCAAGCTTTGAATGTCACCAAATGCGATGCTACGTTGTGCTTATCCGGCGGCAGAAGCGACGGCGTTAACTAACTGTATATTTCAGAAGAAAGAAGACCTGGATATTTCATATCTATAGTATACAAATGCCTTTTGTTCTGAAGTTTCAGTCTGGCATATGTCCCTTATGCTACCTCATTTACATATTTTAGTTACTTCTTAAAAATATTATATAATTTTTTATTACATATTTTTTTCAGTTATCATCAATAAAAGGACAACTATATTTTGTATTCAGAATCAATACAATGTATACATTTCCGTCAAAAAGTGTTCGTTTTACCTCATTTAAACGTTTCCTGGTTAGGTCCGTGTTTAAGATATCATAAGTAATAGGTCAACTGTATTGTGTGTATGACATGGTTGTGTTGCATACATTCTGTACTTTGTTATGATCTGAGTCCAACCAGTTTGTCCTTATGTTGTGCTGTAACATCAATGTTCAAGGGTAGGTAAAGGGTTGGGCGCCCGCAAACATGTTTAACCCCCCCCCAAATTATGTATATGCCTATCAAAAAAGGAGCCTGTTTTTCAGTTGTTGTTGTTTGTTGCTGAATATCATACTTGTTTTTCTGTTATTGTTTTGAATGTAAATCAGGCTGTTAGTTTTCTCGTTTGAATTGTTTTACATTTGTCATGTAGGAACTTTTAAAGCTAGCGTTGCGATATGAGTTTTTCTCATTGTTCAAGGCCGTACAGTGACCTATAGTTGCAAAATTCTACGTCATTTGGTCTCTTGTGGAAAGTTGTCTCATTTGCAATCATACCACATATTCGTATTTTTATAATGTCCGTCTCGCAGGGTTCATCAAACCGTGACCTCATTTTCATGGTTCATTGGTCAACTCTTCATCTTTGTAATTAGGTTCGTTTCTCATAATACTATATGCGATATTCTAATTTTATTTGGTGCATGGAATGGTTGTAGGTTGTACTTGTCCTATTGGAATTTTCTTCCATTGTTCTCATTTTCATGCTTCATTTGCCAACGTTTCGTTTTCGTGATTCGGTCCTTTTGAATTATATGTCAGTAGTTTCATTAAAACCAGCCGTAAAAACAATAATAAAATCTATGCTAACTCTCCATGAAATAGAGTCATATAGCCATAAGTCTATTTTTTACACAAAACAAATAAATGATAGGTTATATATGCTATTATATTCAAAATATATGAAAGGGTGGGGTACTAGATGACTCAGATGCTCACCCCTTCCACAAAAGGATTTAAGTGCCCCCTCTTTATATGATCCGTCTAGAAAGTTCATCTGACCTTATTATTTGTTCTCATTTTCACCTACTAACTTCTCACTATAATCAATTCCAGATGGCGTGTTTCTTTTTAAAAAGCAAATGATGCTGTAAAATTACTGTGTTATTATTTCCATTATTTATATATTTATAAAGAATAAATATCGCCAATATAAATACGTTTTTCTTGGTAATTAAATAAATCAGAAAGTCAGAAACTCTGTTTGATGGATTTGGATAATACTAGAGAATTCCGAATGTATATGGTAACTCTAAAGACATTCCTTAACCTTCTATTTTTTTAGGTGAAAGACACATAGAGATTCGAAAGAATTAGGGAAGGTAATTCAATTATTGGTAACAAAATTATATTTACTGCGACTCCAACCAGAGTGAATACAGTGAGAAGGTAATAGGTCAAGTGTACACAACGGTTTAGTGAATAATAGTAAGATTACAAGGAGAGGAACACTAAAGGGGATATAAAATATGTATAATGTTAAAGGAAAATATTAAATGAATCGATTCATATTAGGTAGTGACATTCGTTAGCCACCTTCTTTTATATAATGGATAGTCGACCTTCCCATGGATAGAAACAAGTGCATGTAGGTCTGTTCCTCAGATACTATAAGCAAAAGGGAAACTATACTTGGTGTTTGTAATGATTGTTATGCTAAATTTATGTAATATCTTTCGTGAAACCTATCTTTAAGACTTTCAACATAAAATCATTCATAATCAGCGAAGCAGGTGCGACATTTCATCGTGTGCACGTTTTATAATGTATAGAATAAAATATATACTCACATGTTCCACACTTGGATGAGTTACACTGACAAACGAAATCAATACTGGAAAGAGAGATACAAATCCCATCATCATCACATGGAACGCTGTGGCAAGAATCCGCCTTTTGTGTTGTCGGTGAGTACAGAAATTCTGTTGTTACATCATGACTATAAGTTGTTGTCTCTGCTTGATTCTGGATTGTTGTCTTACCATGTAAAGGATTTTTCTGCATTTCAGTTATCATATTTTTTTGTGATTGGGTTATTGTTTGGGAAGTATTTTGTCCATTAGACAGTGTCGCTGATGTCATATTTTCAGTTGTTGGAGTTTCAGTCGTATTTTCAGCATATTTAGTATCTGATACTTTATTTTCAGTATTCAAAACTGTGGTAATATCCATTTCTGGTTGAGATTTTGTTCTACTACTTGTCTGGAGCACTGTTGTAACAGCCTTAAATGGTATATCCGGTGTTCTATTTGCCGTTGTTGTTCCTTCAAATAGCGAGGTCAATGATGGTGTACTATAATTTGAAGTTCCTATTGTTGTTGTATCATCTCTCTTATTACCATGAGTGTTACTCTGGGATTGTGATAATGATATAAAATTTTCAGTTGTATGATCTATTGCCGTTATACTTTCAGACTGTGCAGTATTGTCAGCTGAGCGAAAGATCGTTGTAGACTTGCCATATTGTATTCCAGATGATACAGAACCATTCGACTGAGGTACTGGTGTAGTACCAACTGTGTGTGTGCCAGAAGTTCTACGGTCAGTTGTTTGTTGTACCGATATAGTACTACCATATATAGTCTCCATTGTCGAAACCGCCTTTACAGTTACATTAGACTGTGTTGCTTGTTTCGTAGTGTAAGTTAATAAAGATGTGCCCATGTATTGTGTCTTTAGTGTCGTACTATCAGCTGTGTAAGATACTTCTGTTGACGGGGTACTATTAGTTGTTTGAGTTTCCAATGTTGAACCTATAGACGTAACCTCGGTTTGAGTACCCCCACTTATTTGAAGTAGAGTTGTAGTTCCTTCTGTTTGATTAATCGTTGATTTACTATCATAGTGTGCCTGTGGTAATGTACTGTCACTTATTTTACTTATAGTAATAGCGTTTGAAGATTGAGAGTTTTGTGAACCGCTATCAGTTGTTTGAGTTTCCAATGTTGAACCTGTATACGTAACCTCGGATGGAGTACTCCCATTTATTTGAAGTAGAGTTGTAGTTCCTTCTGTTTGAATCATCGTTGGTTTACTATCATATTGTGCCTGTGGTAATGTACTGTCACTTATTTTACTTATAGTCAAAGCGTTTGAAGATTGAGATTTCTGTGAACCGCTATCAGTTGTTTGAGTTTCCAATGTTGAACCTGTAGACGTAAACTCGGGTGGAGTACTCTCATTTATTTGAAGTAGAGTTGTAATTCCTTCTGTTTGAATCATCGTTGGTTTACTTTCAAATTGTGCCTGTTGTAATGTACTGTCACTTATTTTACTTATAGTTATAGCGTTTGAAGATTGAGATTTCTGTGAACCGCTATCAGTTGTTTGAGTTTCCAATGTTGAACCTGAAGACGTAACCTCGGGTGGAGTACTCCCTCTTATTTGAAGTACAGTTGTGGTTCCTTCTGTTTGAATCATCGTTGATTTACTGTCATAAATTGTCTGTGATAATGTACTGTCACTTGTTTTACCTATAGTTATAACATTGGAAGATTGAAACTTCGGTGAACTATTATTTGAATGATCAGTTGTTTGAGTTTTTTTGGTAGAATCTGGAGACTGAACCTCGGGTGGAGTACTCCCATTTATTTGAAATAGAGCTGTAGTACCTTCTGTTTGAATCATTGTTGATTTACTGTCATATTGTGTCTGTGATAATGTTTTGTCACTTGTTTCAATCATCGATGGAACACTGTCATTTTCTGCTGAAGATGACGTTCCAACACTCATCTGCCCTATAGTTGTACTACTACCAGACTGTGTCAAGGTTTTCATAGTATCATCGGCTTCATTTATAGTTTTAGTAGTATCTAATTGTAACTGGGATGTTATACCAACACTTGCTAGACGAAAAATTTGCGTACCATTTGACTGTGACTCGGATATCGAACTGTCACTTGTTGGATCCATGGTTGTAAAACGGTCTGACTGTGACTTGAATATTTTAGTTATACGTGTTTTACTGAAATGTGAACTACTGTCAGGCTGTAACGATGATGTACCATCACTTGTTTGGTCAATGAATGCAGTACTGTATGCTAGTGTGTCCGATGTATTATTGTCATTTGTTTGACGAACAGTTTCAGAACTAATTGATTGTTTTTCAGATATCGTACTGTCAGATTTTACGTTGGTACTTATAGTTGTCTGAAATAACGAAGTACTAATTGATTGCCTCTCCGATGTTGAAGTTTGATTTAAAAACGAACGACCATACTGTTCATCTGATGTCGTACCTATAGTCGTTTGAATCAGAGTTGAAGTTATGTCTGACTTGGCTTTAGATAAAGTGCTTATGTTATTTGTTTGTTCAGCAGTTATGGTGCTTTCTTGGTTTGTTTCAAACCATGTTCTTTCTGGTGCACTTGTGGTTTTGGTTTGTGTGGTAGTGTCTTGTTCTGTTGATAATATAGTTTTGGAAGTTGTGCTTTCTGTCGAAATTAAAATAGTTTCTGTCTCAGTTAAAGGATAGTTCTGTGATTGTGTATGAGTTTTTGCAGAATGACCTACAGAAGAAGAGGCATCTTCTGTTGTTGACATAAGCGATGATATACTCTGTAATTCGTTTTTTGTTCTCTCTGAAGCACTTTCTAGTTGATAGTCTGCTGTTGGAGAATATGTTGAAACTAAAATTACAAAAGAATATCCTTATTGATTTACTGATCAATCGGGTGATTGATTAATTGATTGATTGATTGATTGATTGATTGATTGTTTGATTGATTGATTGGTTAATTGATTGATGTAATTAAAAAGTGATTATTCAAATAAGAATTCTTTATAGTCTCATGACCTGAAGTAGCAGAAATAATTTTCTATAACAAACAAGCTTCAATAACGGTTCATCAAACAACAGAAGACATTCACAAATCAGACATCCGTTTATAAATTTTGAGCCTTGATTTGCATATTGGCTAATGCCTCCAGACTTCATCTTCTTTCTTTATTTACAGAAAAACATCAACATCTGTAATTATTATCAAAACTGTGAAACCAGGAATGCGCCAAAAGGGTTGATGATTACCTGGTTTCACAGTTTTGTTAATTATTACAGATTAATTTTCTATTTTTTCAAATAATTTTTAACATTTCTTATATTTATGTGTATGTGTAGATCTAAGTACAATTTTTCAATTTTTGTTTTTATTTCTTTTAATTTGTTATAAAAGTATTCTGGCCCCAGACCACAATTAATGGCCCCTGTTTCGTTATGTTCCCTTTACTTATAGTGGTTTTTTTTTCTAATAAAAATTCTTTCCCTTTCTCATTCATCTCTACGTTTTTATTTCATGGAAATGAAAGAAGAGAGTTGAAATGATTTTTTTGAGGTTTTATTAGGTCTTTCCACTTTTCCATGTGAAGACCTTTCGATTTTGTTCTGATTATTATCATTGTTTTTTTTTTCTTCTTCCGCCAATTTTATTTCTTGTAAGAAGAATTTGTCTCGCAAGATGTCGCTTAGATACTTGGTATATGATATAGAACAGTTTATACGCTTTGGCATACGCGTTTGAAACTAACACCGTTTAACCGAACACTTTTCTTTGTAAGAGTTATTTCTCTGAACACTGTTTTCCTCGTGATTGCTACTCCTTAGCAAACATAAAAGAAACTGACCAAATTATTTGACGAAATTTCTCGCTACACCCGCAGGATGTTGAAACGAAATTTTACCGAGGCGATCCGGAGACTCCATATAACAGTTATTTCCTCTTATGCATTTTATATAAGTGATTTGTATTTGTAACTGGTGAACCATAGGTGATAGAGACCTAGAATTTATTTTAATTGAGGTCAAGGGTCCACTAAAAAAATGAGGTCAAAGGTCAAGGTGATGTCCTGAATTTTGATTTTGGCTTATTATAGAATCATGTGCAAAACAGTGTAGCCGAGACCATTGATTGGCGCGCTAAAATATCCCATTGACTGGGTCAGATTAGGTGAACGTTCGTCTGTAACGCCCACAACTCACGACGTATTTATTATAAACATTTAAACTGTAGGGTTGCCAAAGGGTCTCAACGCCTAAATAAAATAATTCGAAAAACTAATCAGGAATAACCTTTGTGTTTTGATTAATATTGAATACTTAAACGTTCTTTACTTGTGTTTTCGTTATGTTTGGATAATCAATTTTTATGATATCGCACGTTCTTTCAGCAAAAAAGATATATATGGTTTTGCACATGATTCTATATATAGCTTCTCCTCAGAGAGCGTATAATATATCGACAAAATATTTTTATTAGATTGGTAGATGCGACATGTCGTAACACATACATTTTGGTTGAAAGGGTACATTGACATTTAATGTGAGTTTTCTCTCCTCTTAAAATTAGAATTGGCTGTATGGTGAATTATGATAATTCATTAACCATATACAGTAGAGACCTATGAACTTTTGATTTGAGGTCCTTGCTTTATGACCTTAAAATTGAGGTCAAATTCAAAGTTTTTTTTGACGTTCTAGATTTTGACCTTTGCTGTAATTTCTTTATAAGACATGATCAAGTCATAATGTCTTTTAGGTGTAATACCACCAAATCATAGTACGTCACATCCGGTTGCATACGAAAATAGGTCTAAAAAAATATTCCCTTGAATTTGACAGTTGTAGGTAATTGATCCTACATTTCATTGCAGTAAAACATTTCTGGGTCATAAACATATATCTTGGGTATTTCAAAGCACCATTATTTTTTTATTTGGGGTTTCTATAAAATATTTTGGAAACTTGAGGTTACATGGTTACTAAAGCTTGTACACAGGTTAAAAAAGGGGGAAAATTTGATTGGTTAACTTCCAGTGATGGTTATTTTCTTATATGCAATGAAATATTCTATAGTACTGGACAGGATAAAACTTTACTCATGCCAAGTATTTCTTTATTTGAAACAAAGATATATTCTGCACAATGTTTTGAAAAGTGCAAATTTAACAAAGACTAATAGGGGAAAATCAATGGTGGTATTACACCTAATATGGGAAGCTGTACATGCACTTTTGACCTTGTGAGTACTCTCATGTGTTAAAATTTCTTGCTATTTAAGTGAAATATTACAAATAATGAAATATTCTGAGGTGATTGAGTCTCCAAAACACATTTTATAAGAAAATTTCCTTGAAATAGGACTTTACCATGAATATTAGTTGACAGAACAAGCCATACTTAGAGTTTGGGTGAGCTTTTTCTCCTTATTTATTATATTCTGCTATACTAGAAATTTTTTCCTAGGAAATACTTAAATAAATATATAGTTTTAAGTAAATGAAATTATTTTTAAAGCAGTAACAACAAGTTATTCACCAAAAGAGAAGCTTTTTATGTCCCTCTCTGGGACGCGGCGTAAATTTAAGTTTTACGTAAGGACTTATTGAAACCTCCTTGGAGACAGCAAACTTTTATACGGATAGTTCATTCAGCTTGAATACTTCAATTAATCATTTATTATAACATTTCTATCATAAATGAGTAAAAGTTACCCCAGAATTTTTATTTATTGGCCTAAAAAGTAGAAATTTTGAGGAAATGAGAGGTATAAATGGACCAAAAGAGACCTTATAAGGAAGACAAAGAGGTCCATTAGTACTATTTATCATCCTAAAGTCATCTTTTGTATCATATTCAACTGTTTGTAGACAGATGAGATAAATATTTGATCATTTATTGGTCCACACTATATTCTATCATGATGCGGCTGGGTTTGGATTTTTAGAAGAAATTTTGCTCGAATCGCTGTAGATGTCGTCTAACATTATACTAGATTTTTCTCAAATTATTGAACTGATTATGACAAAACTTGACAGGAATGCTTGAAATAATCCGTATTACAAAGGAAAAAAGTCACATTCAGTTTATTTAACAAAAAAGTCTTCTTTAGGTGTTATACCACCAAATCATAGTACGTCACATCCGGCTGCATACGAAAATAGGTCTAAAAAAATATTCCCTTGAATTTGACAGTTGTAGGTAATTGATCCTACATTTCATTGCAGTAAAACATTTCTGGGTCATAAACATATATCTTGGGTATTTCAAAGCACCATTATTTTTTTATTTGGGGTTTCTATAAAATATTTTGGAAACTTGAGGTTACATGGTTACTAAAGCTTGTACACAGGTTAAAAAAGGGGGAAAATTTGATTGGTTAACTTCCAGTGATGGTTATTTTCTTATATGCAATGAAATATTCTATAGTACTGGACAGGATAAAACTTTACTCATGCCAAGTATTTCTTTATTTGAAACAAAGATATATTCTGCACAATGTTTTGAAAAGTGCAAATTTAACAAAGACTAATAGGGGAAAATCAATGGTGGTATTACACCTAATATGGGAAGCTGTACATGCACTTTTGACCTTGTGAGTACTCTCATGTGTTAAAATTTCTTGCTATTTAAGTGAAATATTACAAATAATGAAATATTCTGATGTGATTGAGTCTCCAAAACACATTTTATAAGAAAATTTCCTTGAAATAGGACTTTACCATGAATATTAGTTGACAGAACAAGCCATACTTAGAGTTTGGGTGAGCTTTTTCTCCTTATTTATTATATTCTGCTATACTAGAAATTTTTTCCTAGGAAATACTTAAATAAATATATAGTTTTAAGTAAATGAAATTATTTTTAAAGCAGTAACAACAAGTTATTCACCAAAAGAGAAGCTTTTTATGTCCCTCTCTGGGACGCGGCGTAAATTTAAGTTTTACGTAAGGACTTATTGAAACCTCCTTGGAGACAGCAAACTTTTATACGGATAGTTCATTCA